GTGTGTGTGTGTGTGTGTGTGTGTGTGTGTTAGAGGAGTGAACCCAGGGCTTCAAGACCATGCTATACAAGCACTCTACCATTAAGCTACATCCCTAGCTCAACAGGTCTACTTTTTAAACACTAACTGCAAAGTTCTAAGTGCTTTTAGAAGGGCAGTGAGGAGTAACAAATCCTCAGCCTGGGCTGCAGTTGCTCCATGAAGGGATGGGGGTAAAGGGTGATTAGAAATCCTGGTCTAGAAAAGGAGGGATTTGGGGTGCTGGGTGGGTTTCAGTGTTGTTTCAGAGACTTCCAAGTTGACTTCTGTCAGCTATTTTAGATACCATACTGGGGGTCTTCCCACCTTCTTTGGTTTGGGGCTCAAGAGCAAGACTACCTGGTCAGTCAGGAGGCTGCTCCTCTGAGGAAGAATCCAGGCTTCCAGATTCAGGCAGGAAGAATGGAACTCTCCCCAGCATCCAGACAGGAAAACCCAGGAGCTAGCCTTTCATCAGCAGGGAAAGAGCCAGTCAAGATCACCCAGAGGGTTGGGAATGGAAGCCAGGAGCCCTATGCCTAGTTTTCTCCCTTTCCAGGAAGCTAAGGGTGGCACTCTTGGGATGCTGGGGCTGGGAGTCTCTGCTAGCCATGAGGGCCATCTGAGTCCTGGGCCTATACTATCACTGACAGCACTCTGGGAGAGGGTCACAGCAGATGGTCTCCCTGGAATGTCTTCCTCCCTCTCTCTGATTAGTCCAAGAGGCTGAGGCAGCAGCTCTAGAGAATGAGGAGCCACCCCACCACTCCTGCATCCTCTTGGGGCTTTGACCTTCTTCAGGGTGTCCAGAAGCAAGCTAGCCGCTTAGGAAGCAGACAGAAAGAGGAGCATCTGCTCCCTGGGTTGTGTGAACTCTTCAATCCTAACCAAAGGGTCCTCTTACATTGTGCACCCTAGCTAGGGGCCCTGCTTCACTGTGGTCCTGGCCCTGCCCTGTCGCTCTACTCCAACATCTGAAGCTCTAGGCTCTGTCCTAGTTGTCAGCTTCAGTCCAGCCCTGTGATCTTCCTGCCTGTGAGGAAGCTAATGCAGTTGGGTGCTGGTTCCAGGTTGGCTGGTTCCAGTGCACTGCCCTGCACACTCTGCAGTCACCAGCAGGTGGATCTTTCCTTGTCTCTTGCTAACTGGCTATCTCCCTGGATTAAGGAACCCTGGGACACTGACTCTACTGTCTATCCAAACTTCCCCACCCCTGCTACCCTGGACAGTGGGAAACATAAGCAGTGTGATTTTTGTAATAGATGACCACTCATACCTGTGTGATTGTGGGAAAAATATTAACCCTCTCTGGGCTTTAGTTCTGTTATATAATGCAAGAATCAGGGTTGTTATAGGAGCTGAGTGAGGGCAAGATATTAAGTATCTCTAAATGCTCTTTTTTTCTATTAACGAAGCTTGAACTTGTGGTTCCCCAGCAGATAAGGACCAGAGAAGAGACAAATATCTGCAGGATGGTGTCTGTACACTTCTAACCCAATGTTGAAGCCTTCATGCCCTCCCAGATGCCCCAGCCCATTCAACTTCCAGGCCTGTTCCCATGAACACATCTTTTCTTCAGGAAGCTGGTGCCAGATGTGTCACTACTGTACCCTTTCCTGCCCAAACCAATTCATCTGTGGGGTCTTGCTCAGGGGCCTTCCTCCAGGAAATTCCAAATGAAAGCAGTCCCATTTGCATGCAGCAAGACTTGCTTGTCTTTGTGTTTAGGTCAGCCCTGGTTCCTTACACTGTATTTAATCAGTGTGGAATTTGGGCCTGGGACTTGGGTGAATCATTGTCCCTCTTTAGGGTTTGATTTTGACAGTTGTCAACAAAGGGTTTCTGTGATCTTATCACTACCACCCCATGATGTATACAACAGGTGCTCACTTGGTGGCTGAAGGATGGAAGCCTGTGCAAGGGTCCTGTGCTGTGACTCTTAACAGTGAATTCATAGCCAGGCCTCCAGGGGCTGCTTTGACCTCATGCTGCCTATGAGGCTGAAGCTCAGAGGTTTTGTAGAGAGGTTTGGGGTCTTTGCTTTGGCTTCAATTTTGACTTCAACAGGGCCACACAGGCTGCTTCACACTGTGCTTATCTGGTTCTAAGCTCAAGTCACTACAGCCACACTGCACTAGGAATCATCCTGTAAGGCCCGATCTATGGTTCTACCAGTCCAACCTATCTTCTCCTTACCTTCTGTCTTCGGGGGAGATGGATAGTTGGCCCGTTTTGTGGTTGCCCCAGTTCTTCCACACCAAAGAACCCAAGGACAGAATGGTCTATTTTCCCCATGACAGCTATGATGGGAGGGCAGGTGAGCATGTTGGAAGGCAGTCTGAGCCTCTTTGCTACTGTTACCTAGGATGTAGGTGCCTCCCATTTAAATCCCAGGTCCTTTCTTCTTCTTCACCCTGCTCTGATTCTCAGTAGGTGACCCTCAATGATGACCTAAGGGAGGTACCAGCAAGGATATGGGAAATGCCCTCTCAGATGTGAGTTGGCTGTGTCTCTCTGCCCAAGGCTACCTGGCCTGCCAAGCTGCTCTCCCAGAGAGTCTCCCTTCAGGCTATGGTCATGTTCCCTTCCCAAACCTCTTCAAACCTGGGGATCACAAGGGTGCTTGCTATTATAATCACCCAGGATACTACAGTCTCCCTTTTGTTCATAAGCCTCAGCTCAACTTTGCAGACAGCACCTCACTTAACTGGCTCCCGAGCCCACAAATTCCAGTTCCTTCTTTTCCCTGCTGGGACCTTGACAGGGGCAGCTGCTGTGTGAGCCTCTCTCTGTGAGCCTGTACCTTCACCTGACATCCTAGAATCATTGCCATCATCCGTACCCTGGCTCCTTTGCACATCCTGGCATTTAATGAGCATATGCTGAGCAGTATACTTGCCAGAGGTTTTTACTTGCACTGTCTCAGTTAAGCCTCATATCCATGATCCTTGAGAGTAATTGCCATTTCTTTATTCAGATGAGAAGCAGATGTCTGAGGAAATGGACTTGCACAAGGAGGCCCAGCTCTGGGATGTGAAACCAGGCCTTCTGACTAGGAAGCCTGTGAGTACTAAGCTGTGCTGCCTTTTTCTTTCATTCTCCTTCTTTCTCTTTCAAAATCAGGGCAACATGGACAAGGTCAAGTCCAGAGACCAAAACATCTATGGATTATTGTTATGTTGTACTGGGGATTGAACCTAAGACCTGGTAGACAAGCCCTCTATTATTGAACCACACCTCAGCTCCATCTGTCCTTTTGAATGACAACAGACAGATGGCTTTGTGACTGTATAACTAGATGCTGGCACCAGAGGAGAGGAAGATGGTATGTCTTGGAGGATTAGCTGGACACTGCTGGGCATAGTAACATGGTATCTAGAGGAGGACACCCAGCACAAACAGGTCATTTACCCCTGCCTCCAGCTGGTGGAATCAAAACATCCAAGCAGTGACTTGTAGCACTAATGTGGCCCTTGTCCAGTTCTAGCCAAGCCCTGTGGAT